CAGAAAAATTATTTGATCTGCCAATTTCTCCATCCTCTGAGAAGCGCTGGCTCCAGGACACAATATTGATCTGGAAAGTGGCTGGACTCTCTTCTGTAATGAGGACTTCGACCTCACTGGAGTGAAATGTTACTTAAGCCCCTCACCTGCTCCTGCTCTGTGGACACCTACCTGTGTGAAGTGTTGGGGTGAGGGGGATACTGGCCTCAATACCATTTGGGTCTGTTTCCAACCACCTAATTTCACTAATTCTCAAAAGGGGAGGAGAAGGTAGGGACATGTGACAGCAGTTTGTATATATTCGATATCATAATTTAATCCTTAATAGGAAAAAACCAAGCTGTTGTTTTCATGATACAAATGTCTAGTGGGGGGTATGCCACATAGAAATTGAGCTTCCGACAGGTGAAGGAAGTTGCTGGGAAGGTAGGCAGATTATTCTCCTTAAGCCATACTTAGGAGGTTGAACTTTATTCTGAAAGCAAGTGGGGGAACTACTTAAAGGCTTTAACTGGAAAGTGACATGATTTGAGTCTTTTTTCATTTCTTTTGGTTGCATAGTGGAGAAAGAATTAGGGGGTAGCAAATCTGAAGTCTGCATACCAGTTAGGCTGTTGCAGTAATTCAGTTTTTTAAAAAAAAAAAATTTAAGGGGGCGCCTAGGTGGCACAGTCGGTTAAGCGTCCGACTTCAGCCAGGTCACGATCTCGCAATCTCGCGGTCCGTGAGTTCGAGCCCCGCGTCAGGCTCTGGGCTGATGGCTCAGAGCCTGGAGCCTGTTTCCGATTCTGTGTCTCCCTCTCTCTCTGCCCCTCCCCCGTTCATGCTCTGTCTCTCTCTGTCCCAAAAATAAATAAACGTTGAAAAAAAAATTTAAAAAAAAAATTTGTTTATTTTTGAGAGAGACAGAGTGCAAGGGGAAGAGGGGCAAAGGGAAACAGAGAGAGAGACACAGAATCTGAAGCAGGCTCCAGGTTCTGAGCTGTCAGCACAGAGCATGATGTAGGGCTTGAACCCACAAACTGTGAGATCATGACCTGAGTTGAAATTGGACGCTTAACCAACTGAGCCACCCAGGTGTCCCTGCAGTAATTCAGTTTAAGAGATAATGGGCCTTGGATTCTGGGTAACAGCAGCAGGAGTAGAAATAAACAGGTGATTTGGAGAAAGAGATACTCTAGAGGTTGAATAAACCTGGACTCATTAATTCGTGGGAAGCCAGAGAGGAGTCAAGTTAGATTTCCAGATTTCTGGCTTGGGCAGCTAAAAGGTGGTGGTGGTAGTGCCATATCCATAGAGAATGCTGGAAGCAACACTGAGGTATTTGGAGATCCAAATAAATATTTTTTCCCATTCCTTGGCTCTAGGAGATGGACAGAAAGGCCAGGAATGGATTCAGGGGCCGACATCCACTTCTGGGTCTCCCACCATGTTTTTCCAAGAACAGAGACAGCTCCTGCTATCTACTTCCTCAGGTCTGTCCATTCTTTCCCTCTGTTCTACTGAGCTAGGGTTTTCTCTTAGCTTTTTCCCTCCCGACTCCTCACCAACACAGTTGGAGCAGATGATACATTTAGGACAAAGTCACAAGGAAAAAGTTATGTCATCCTGAGGGTAGAATTTAATGATGATAAAACAAGACACACATTAATAAATTGATATGTATCTTTTTTATTATGCACAGATAAAGGACTTAAAACTGTGGTTATCAAAACTATACATCTAAGCATGTTCATAAAATTGCCAACACATTGAACAGAGAAAAGAATACAACAGGGGTGTTCAAACTGGCCACAGGGATTTTAAGGGTACTCTTTTTACCCTGATAGATGAAACACAGCAACAAAATCAGGCTCACTCAGGAAAACCCAGAAGAAACAAGCATTGTTTTTGGAAACTGATAATAGTCCTTTTTAGAAAAACATCTGTCAGTTTCATGAACAATCCCCAGATAACACAAACAGGAAAAAGGTCACACACACACAATTCGCCCAACCAAATGTGCTCTGTTACCACAACCATCACTCACACCATGAGGTAGTTACTGTACGAAATGACCAACACGCATGTGCGCACCCCCCCCACACACTCACAACCACGCCCCCTACAGAACACACACAGAACATGGGTTTACAGTCTTATCACAGACAAGGAAAAGACCATTTTTGTTTGTTTGTGTAGACAATGCTCTAGAAGCAGCTCAGACAGAAGACACCTCTGACTTTAAAAACAGAGGAACTGCTGGTGAACACCACATGGTGAAAGCTATAAGGTATCCCACAGACACTCTGCCTGGGGAGTTTGGAGCATTTCAACAATAGCTTTGGCTTGGTCAAACACAACAAAAATGATCTCTGTGAATTAGAGTGTAGCCGGCAGAAGTAACGAAAGACTTTGTAGACAGAAGCATTTAACTGGAATATAACAACAGTTTTAAGGAAACTTGCAGAACTTGTTATAAACTCGAGCTTGTACTTTGTATTGAAACTGTGAAGTATGAAGTGATTAGAAATGCTGTAATACAAAACTGGGGAGAGAACACTTTTTTTAAAAAACATTTTTTAGAAACATTTCTGAGATACTTAGTTAATGACATTCACTCTCCAGTGAACATGGGATCGGGTTTATTATCAACACAGATTTCTTGATCTGAATAATACTTCTGACAGTAAGACCCGAACAATTAAAAGGTGATTTTTTTTTCCTTCTCTTTCTTTTAAAATCTTTTGGTTTGCATCCATAAATTTGTAAATTAATTTTAAATTATTTATAAAATCATTGGCAATGTAACATCTCTCTCAAAAATATACATTTAAATATAATCATCACAAAAGGTTTTAACCCTGTCCATCTAAAGAATTGGATCTGTTTAATACCTCTTAATAGATGATTTTGTTTTTAAGAGGATGGAAAGGGTTTTTTAAACAGCAAAGAACTGATCAAAAGAATTCACAGTAACTGAAATTAAACATTTCATATGGAGTAATTTAAATTTATCTAAAACACTTAAATATATCTTTATACACACATTTTTGTAGTAAAATATAGCTATATGTGACTTAAAGACTCTAGTCTTCTTTGAAGACATCTTTAAACTTTTTTATACATAGAATATGCTAAAACAATACATTCTGCTGAAGGTTAGGCAAAGCGCATTATTTTCAAACACAGGTAGCATAATCTAGGTCCTCCACTCTGATACCCTTATGTTAAAAAGTTAACTGAAGGAAATCAATTCTCTAATCTCGTATCTTCATTTGTATGTGGAAATCTGCAAAATTTTCAATAAATCAATGCAGGCAGCCTGGAAATCTTAGCCCTCAAGTAATCTGTTCTGGTTAATATTATGCAGATTGAATATCTATACTTATCAAATCAGAGTATTATTCTATGATTGGATGATATGTCTATCATATGACAGATCAGTATCATATCAATGACTGTCAGTATCTCCACCTACTTGTGGGCTGACAGACACTGCCCTCAGGTCTTGGGTATCATCAACATTTTCTACTTAGGGTTCCATTCAGAGAACCAGGCACAACTTCCTTATTTTAAGGGCAGTGAGATTCACTTATGAATATTTTGGAGTAGAAGCTAGCCTGTTCTTTCTGTAGGATTTAGAGTCATTTGGGGGAGAATTCTGGAAGAAGATGAATATTTCTTTGCAACGAAGCTATTCTCAGTAGTAAATGAATTGGCATGGCAACTTTCCTCGGCCTTCTTTTTTAACACAGACTATCAGTTGAGCTTATTTTAGCTGCAAAGTGGCATCATATTGTTCCATTTTAATGAAATCCATCTCAAATCCTTTTTTGAGGTTGGAATATATTTAAGGCAAGAGAACTAAAGCAGTCCACACGAGTGCCCTTTTCCAATCTCAGCACTTTCTTGGCAGAATCGGTGACACTGTTCAGATAACCAACCAGAAACCAACAGGATCTGCCGTGCATTTGCACGAACAAGAGCTTCGTTTTTCACAAAAGGGTCTATTAACAAGGTTGACACGTTTTGAGTGGAAACACTAATTCTCCCAAATACACTTAAGTTGCAACTCTGAAGACACAGGGTCTTTTAAAACGGGGAATGAATTTTCTCTTTTTCAATGGAGAAAACAAATGTGCCAGGTGACATGGTCTATACCTGTACTTGCATATATATATATATACTGTGCAAATTCCTCTCCAACTTTAAAACTAAATTTGCCCCAATTTATAATTTTTCTCAGAACGCAATGTCATAAATGGGGACAAATATGCAGTCCCAGATTTTGGCCATTTTCTATTTCTATATGCTTATGAAGCAATACAAACTTTGCATTAAGACATTTTTGCAGTCGGTGTGCGAGTGTGGGACAGGGGGGAGCAGGTAAGGTTATCGGCACTGGTTTTGGCCCAGGGCCCGAGAAAGGAATGTTGCTGCGATTTGTGTGTCAGGGTGCAGTCCCTGAGGGTGGCACCCTTCAAGCGGACAACATCAGCCCCCAGAGGGTGTGACAGCAAAGTGAGAAGTGTGCGTCCAGAAGGTGCAAATTAGACACGGAGGAACACACTGAGAAAATCTTGAAGTATTTCTTGTGTTATACATCTTGGTTCAGTTATACAAGGCTCTTTGGCCGTATCTCCTCACTGGTCCTACTGTCTGGTTATCATCCTCTCACCAACCCCTCGAGTCAGGGTAAATCTCGGGGCCCCAAATTATGGACAGTCTTACCTGGACAAAGCAGCATTTTGAAAACTGGCACGTGTTTCACATTGAAAACCCCCAAGCCCGGGCGGGGCTGGTGGAGAAGGCCACCACCTTGGCTTTCTCACAGGAGTTCTAGTGTGTTACAGAAGCCCAGGGGGCACACGTGTATTAGCCCTGGGCGGGGGAGGAATACAACAGGTGGCCTGCGTGTTGGAATTCACTCTCTCTTCGCAATGGCACCGTGCTGCGGCCTTCCCGCGCGGACACGCGGGGCGGGCGGCCGCCGGTCCCCTCCGGGCGGAGGCGGGGAGCTAGGCTGCGCTGCTGCTGGAGCAGGGCGTGCTCTGCGTGCTGCCGATGCTGTGCGCCGCGCTGCTGTTCTCCGAGGCCGGCGGGGAGGTGGGCACTTGCTGCCTTCCTGCCGTCTGCCCTGCGGTTAATGAAGAAAAGGGACGAAGAAACACGCGTGTTACGTGTGCGCATCCGTGACAAGGCCAGTTATTTCCCCCTTTGCTGTTCTATCTGATGTTTCTCTCCTCCGGGGGCAGAAGCAGGTAGACCAGGCCTTACACAGAAAGTGGTCCTGTTTGTTGGTGTTTTGTTTTGCCTGGTGAAAAGAGAACTGTTTATAAGCTGACCTATGATAGGCAGTGTTAGTGGCTAAGACTCTGACAGATGACAATAAATCCCCGGGATTTCAGTGCCCAGGACCTTTGAAGAAACCGCCACCATTGGTACCAACTGACCAGCCCCTGTATTCGGGACACACAGCCTATCTCTTCTCATAAAGATACAGTCAGGTTTGGAGGATGAGACCTTTATTTATTTATTTATTTTATTAAAAAAAAAAACAAAACTGTTTTAACATTATTTTTGAGAGACACAGAGAGAGCATGGGCAGGGGAAGGGCAGAGAGAGAGAGGGAGACACAGAATCGGAAGCAGGCTCCGGGCTCTGAGCTGTCAGCACAGAGCCTGACAGGGGGCTCAAACCCCCAAACCATGACACCATGACCTGAGACCAAGTCACGTAACTGACTGAGCCAACCCGGGCACCCCAAGAGGGCGAGACCTTTAAACTGTACTGAGAGAGGTCTGCGGTACGGGGGCCTTTTTCTGAATATACTTGCTCAAAATGGGGGTGGTGAGCCTAGATTTTGCCCGAGCTACAGCACAGCCAAGTGCTGTGCGGCCCATGAACACAACCCAGCTGAGAAATGGAGGCAGGACAAGCCTGCTCTCGGAAAAACCTTTTGGGAAAGGAGTTTAGCTGTTGGCACACGGGGAACTGTGGTTGCCTGGGAACAACCTCCTCCATCCTGCAGTTCACTGGGGGTGCAGTGAGAATATCTCCTAACACATTAAGCATCCCACTTTTCATTACACATCCCACTGAATTTTAGCTAAACCCATTCCTTGTGCCAAATGTGCAGTGCTTTGGAGGAGGAGGAAACCCTGGGTCACCCACACACATGGTTTGCATTTAGCACTTGCAAACGGCCCTAGAGTGAAGTCTTTTCTTCAGCGAAACTGGTCTCAGGGCAGCCCTCAAAAAATGGCTCTGTGTAGGGAAAAGGGATCCATGCTCTCCAATGAAAAACACTGCATTTTCTCTGAAAAGTCAGAGCATAAACTTAATAATCTTCTGGTCAGCAGTCGCCCTCTTCTAATGTTGGAAGCCCCAGAGGGCCAGCTCTGTTTATGAATGAGCCTCCTCTTTCCCGGTCCTGCTGAAATACACAGCTATCAGCCAGAGAGATAAGCAACCTTCCGCCCGCTTCATTAAAACAAAACACACAGAGCAAAGGCTCGATTCCTCAAGGGCGGGATCTCAGCCTGTTACTTCCATTCCCTTTCTGGGGCCCCTCAAAGGACTCTGCCAAAAGAGCAGCTCTGCAAAATGTAGAACCCGTTCATGCCTTCGCATCTGGTTACAGCTTCCCCTGTCACCCATTTTACAAACCACACAACTACAGCACACATTTTTGCATCAACCTCAGGGCATTTGTATGCTTGCTGCATTGTTTGGCCCGTGCTGTCTTTCCTCTGATTCTCTTTTCTTCCGGGACTGGTGGGATAGAGAGAGGATAGGGGGCCAATATTCCTCAGAGGCAGAGAAACTGTATTTCCACTCTTCTTGGTTTTTTTGGGCAATCTATATTTTGGACGTTCCCCAGCATTACCCTCTACCCTTCATGTATGTATGTAATTAAAGATCTGGAGAAGTTTGCCTCCATGACAGTGACTTTCTGCCAGAAATTCACTTTCCCCAGAGTGGGAGCTTATTTCTAGAAGGAAAGCAAATCTCTTAGCTATTCTGATGTCAAAAAAACAAAACAAAACAAAAACCCCAAAACAAACAAACAAAAAACCCCAAAGCCTCCAGGGACCCAAACAACTTGTGATATACTTTAAAAATTCAGCTCCCTTAAACCCACATGTTGATCCACACCCAGCTGCATTATTATGCTATTAGAAGGACTGATGGGGCCGTGCATGAAGCGCATTTTTGCAACACTTTTCTCCATTTAAAAAGAAAAGCAGCAGGAATCAACACTCCACCTTCCCTTTTTGGCTCACCTGGACTTCATTTGTTCAGCCTGATAGCAGCTAAAGCATGGTGGCCTTGCCTCATTTATTGACAGTGAGCGAGTCTGTCTCATCCAGAATTGGACACGGGCTTGATTATTCAGAGTCAGGAAAAGTGCCAATACTACTCCCTGCCCAGGAAGTATGAGTACTTGCTTTCTGATGTCTGTTTGCCGAATGTAATTTGTTGGCAGGCCAGTTGATTTTAATCAGTGCCCATTAAAAAGGTCTTTCAGCTTCCAGTTTTGGAAACTCTCGTGCTAACGCAAAACACTGTCTAAAATGAAAACTCAAGCAAAGCAAAACAAAGAAGCCCCCTCTCCTCTCAAGATTGCAGGATGTATTTCACCACGGTGGACAAGTCAACTTAACCTAATAATCTACTGACCTCGAAGTAGCTACACCTGTGGTGAACGTTGCAAAACATACAGACTTGTGGAATCACTATGCTGGACACCTGACCTAATGTGACACTGTGTGCCGGCTATACTTCAGGAAAAAAAATGAGGAAAAAAAAAAAGCCAATCTACTGACTTTGAGCCAATGATGTGCCAAGCCAAGGAGAATCTTTGTCTGAGAATCTGCTCAGAAATACTGAAAATACTGTTTTTAGAAATATTAAAAATACCTTCTCCTACTGTGGTGGCTATTTTCACATGGATGAGATTTCTCACACGTTGTTAAAAGCTTTTACCGTCTTAAAAAAAAATTTTTTTTAATGTTTATTTATTTTTGAGAGAGCAAGTGAGCGAGCAAGCATGAGTGGGGGAGGGGCAGAAAGAGAGAGAGACACAGAATCTGAGGCAGGCTCCAGGCTCTGAGCTGTCAGCACAGAGCCCAACGTGGGGCTCAAAGTCACAAGTTGCGAGATCATGACCTGAGCCAAAGTCGGAGACTTAACTGACTGAGCCACCCAGGCGCCCCAAAAGCTTTCACCTTCTGACAAATTACGACAAGGATTTTTTGTTGTCAGATGGAAGTGGTGCGACAGAAACAGTCACCCTGAGAAACAAAAGTTTGATGTGCAGATGCTTCTGCTTAAAAAGCCAACGGAGTTCCCCCGGGTTTTCTGAGATGGGCCCTTTGGCTTTCTGCTCTCTATCACAGTGACCTCTGATTTCCTGGAGCACTAACTCGTAACATATCCCTTGGGTGACTAATACAACCACCCTACTTCCGGAGAAGAAGGGCAGGGAGGACCCCAGAGCTAAGCAGAATAGGCCCACTTAGCAAATGTAAGGAACTGAAGGAAGGATCCTTACTCATGAACATCATAGTTGGCCATAAGGAGAAATGTGTTCAGTCTTCACGCTTTGCTCCTAAAATTTCAAACCCCACTAAGGAAGAGAGATGTGGGGAGGAAGGACAGTAGAGGAGGAGGCCTTTGGAAGAGGGTGTATTAGAAATAATTCCACCCAGTTCACATATTCGCCTGTGGCTGAGCCAAGATGTTGCCAGAGATGCTTTCAGAAACAGAAAAATATATTTCTTAAGGGATAATCTGTTTTATTTCTTTAGCTTGGCATGGAGTTGTCCAGATCTGATTTCCTGCCACCTCTTTGGCAGTCTACTTTACAACTGGATTCTTATCTCTGCATCTTGCAGCATGGCAGGTCCTGGGGAAGAAACTTCATCTCAGAAAGATGTGAATAACTTGGAGAGGCTCCACGGGGAAACAACAACAACAGAAGAATTTTAAAGAAAGGTGAGAGGAATCTCAATTATTTAGCCCAAAGGAGAATGTTTGCAAATATCACCCAAAGAGGATTATTATAAAGAAGAGCAGACAGCTGTGCCTTATCTCTCTTGAGGGCAGAACATGAGGAAATGAGTTTAAATGGTAGCACTAAGGATTTAGGTCACAGAGAAAAGAACTTGCTGATTATGGGGATTGGTTAGTTATAAGGGGAATTTATGGAATCTCTTTCTTGGAAGACACTTAAGCATTGGGTTGAAAACCATATGCCTGGGGATGGCTTAGCTTTAATATTACTTGATGCTGGAAAGAAAAAGATACTGTCTGCAAGGCCTATGTGTTGGTTGTAATTATGGACCAGTCAATGTCTCAACCTCCTGATATCCTAATTGTAATGATTTTACAAGCTTGCTCCCGTAAGGATAGTGAACTAGATAGACTACCTTTAGTTTATAGAAATGTTCATTCATTATTTATCATTTCCAAAAATGGTCCGTCTCCACTCTCCGAGCTAAAAGATTTTCCTTCTGCAGGCGAAACTCATCAGGAGGGGTACGTCTGATGTTGTTATAATTTATGAGGAAGCGGGGAGAGGTTCCAAGGCAGGAATTAAAACCCTTCAAAATGTCCTGCCTATCATTTTCTTCCTATATTCCTGCAGTACAGCCAACCTATTTGCCCCCACATTTTGGTCTTCTGTGGCTTATTTTACTCTAACTTAACCTGAGCACATGGGTGCCGAGAGTGAATTCCTGCCTTCTTTACAGTCGTACCAGGGCTCCCATCTGTTCAGCTGCATCTTCCTGATCCCTGGGACTCAGCCTCTTGCCCCCTACCTTAGTCACACCTGTCTTCCTGCTGCTTCTCTCTGCACCTGGACTAAACTTGGGAGCCTGAAGAAACTTCAGACTTCTGGAAACATTTGAAGCCCCTAGAGATGCTCCTAATTAAAAGCTCTTACCTGACTCAGGTAAACCTAAGTAGGTGCTTGACTTTCACTTTAAGAACACATGGTATGTTCAACTGAAGACTGCTGAACAGAAACCTGAGGGATTGGGACAGGCATGCCTACTTTGAGACCTCAGCATTTTATATTGCTGTGTGGAATGCAGCATTCCTTCCACTCTTAGATTTTTGTTCTGCCTA